AATTTCAATCAAAATATAGTAATGAAATTTTGTATATAAAATAAAATATTTATCGCAGAAGAAGTCACGCGGTTTCGCTAAGTAATTAATATTATAAAATACTGGCGAGTACCCCCTGACTTCATCTGCTTGGAAAGATATGGTTTCCCATACATACAGAATTTCACTTCCCTTTTCACGTCTTTTTACGATTATTTACAGTCCTATGTTCTCATCCAGCAAGGTGGCTGGACTTCACTTTCACTGAAACTGAAAAGATGTTGGACGGAAGAATAAGTCGTGTCGTGTACTGCGTAATATCCGATAATGTACCAGAATTATAAGTGCCGCCGAGCTTTTCAACCTCGCCAAATACCGGGTGAAATAATCGTAATCAAAATCATATATTCAGTTTAGGCTGTTATATATAAGCATTCATGAATGTCTAGAAGCCAGGCCCTGCCAGAATACCAGCGCTGATACAGTGAGAGAGTATTCTCTCAATGTGTCAGCTTAAGCTGAGGCAGGGTCCTGATTGGAAGTCTTAGCGTCGCCGCACACGGGTACACGCCACAGCCACAAACGCCGCCACGAAAAGCTAGAAACGGCTACTAAAGTGGCTGAAGCGCGCGGCAGCGGCCGACTAAGGTAAGGGAGAGAAGGGTGGGGAATGGCGTGTGACGTGTGGCGGCGTTTTGTATCGGCGCATTAAGTGGCCGGTGCGGGCCACAAGCAGCGAGCAACGACGATTTATAGCGTGTGGCGGCCAGCGGCGGCGGCATACCGTGTGTGGCGAGTCCATATAAAATGTATGAAAACTACAAGGAATATGCCGGTGGCGGCGTTTTGTGGTTGTGGTTGGTGGCCCGTGTGCAGCGACACTTAGTGATTGTTTTTGTTTTCTTCGTTTAAGTTACTTTTTCATTTTTATTAGTAGATTTTATATTGTTATGTACAATAAATAATAAACATGGCCAATAAAGGTTTTTTTCATTTTCATTTAATTTCATTAGTAGCTACGCCATCGGTTCGCCAAATCTACGGCGGGAGACCTTGTACTGAGAAGTACCGGTAAGTAACTTAGCAAGAGCTGTTCTTATCCTTGCCCCAACTATTTCTACACCAAATTTAACTAAATCCGGTACAGTGGTTTTTTAGCGTGAAGATGTAAGTAACAGGCAGAATATAAAAAACAGACCGACACACTTTCGTATTTATAATATTAGTATGGATTTAATCAACATGAAAATGCTGCGTGAATTAGGTGTGTTCAAGCGTGTTAAACCCACCGCCGCGCCGCCCGGCGCCATTGGCGTCCTGAAGATAATAAATATGTGTGTTAGCCACATTAATTATGATAAAACACCATTGTACTTCTGGTTAGCAACTATAATATAACCGGGTCAAGTGCGAATCGGTCTCGCAAACGAAGTGTTCCGTATAACATTTAAACCAAATAGAGCGAAACAAGTTCATTAAATCACTTTTAACCGACTTAAAATAGAAGGTTCTCTGTTTTTATATACAATATGTTTTAGCTTTAATTTGTTTTTTTATTTTTGATGATAGCGACCTCAGGAAGTCTATCCTGTGACAGTTTCAGGTTTTTACCTATTTTCAATCAAGAAGAGAAACCCTGTGCCAGACAGTGAGCGAAGAATATTTTGACTGATTTTAGGATGACGTGACAAGGGGTGACAATTGTGAAAAGTGTTTGTGCGATTTCGAATTACAATTATTGCATTTCGAAATCACACAAACACTTAATAGAAGTTTTTACATTATTGAAAATGTACAGCATAGTTAAGGACCTACAAACATCCTCCCCACAAAACTTTCAATAATAAATCTGTTCTATTTTTGAATAAAACTAGTTTTAACGGGTTAATGTATGAACTTTATTTATTTATTGACGTTTCGCAGCCTTTTCAGGACTGCATCGTCAGGGAGAAAAGGCTACGAAATGTCAATAAATAAATAAAGCTCGTGCATTAACCCCTTAAAATTAGTTTTATTTAATGAGTGATGTGCGTGAAAACCTAAGAAACATTTTTTTTTTGTAAAAAATGGCTTGATATGTCCTTTTGGCTTTCTGCTCGAAGATTTTGCAGCTATTGGCACGTTCTAAGTTTTACTCTAGCTTTAAGTCCAACATGACATTGCTAACTTTCCGCTGTGTCGGTGAGTCAGTCTGTCAGCGGGCTGTATCTCCTGAAGTGTATCACACAAATCTAAGATAAAGCTCTGACTCTGAGTCACAAAGCGTAGGTATTAGAGGCAGTTTTCACATAATGTTGACTTTTTAAAGTGAAACTTCTTTTCGAATGGGGTGTAAATGGAAAAATCCTATGGAAAGATGAATCGGAAATGCGTGTGAGTGTGTGTGTGTGTGTGAAATGCATGGAAGTTGGAGGGTAACTCGGCGAAGGCTGAAACGCTACGAGCGTCACACGAGATTATATATATATATATATATATATATATTATGCATATACCGTGGGTCTGAGAATCGGCTACTATCTATTTTTCATATCCTTAAGTACTAATGGTTGTTCACCTGTAACGTAGTGTTCTGAAACCTATAATGCGCCTTCGCGCCAAAATTCAAACTATTGGGTATTGTAACGTAGTGTTCTCATATAGGTTAGGAGGAATGTTATCCCAGGAAATTGATAGAACACTACGTTACACACACCTAAATTGTTTTTGCTTTTTTTTTAAATGTTGTATTTAAATTCTCTTCTACCACCTGCCCCTTTTTTTATGGCGGTACGCGGTCAGCTAGTATATACATAAATATAAGTAGTAGGCACGCTGCTCCATTCCCTATGCCTTATGCATCGCCTAATTTTAGGTTGATGAACAAGAAAAGAAGTTTCACTTCTGAAGTGTGGTCCGTGTACACTATTTTCCTTATCTTTTATTCTTAAAAGAACATGCCACACCCATCAGAACCTAAGCTAATTAATAAATTTTTAATATTACCCAGAGCGAGCGACGAATAATTGGTGCAATACTATATAACTATACTATACTAAATATATTGTTAACTATAAAATTAATTGTAACTATATATTTATATTCTAAATGATGTAATGGAAAGTGACTTCAGACGTATTTCTGAAGTCATTTTTCAACTTGACGACACTGTATATAACAATACAGGGAGAAAAAACAGCCCTTGCTGAGTTTCTTGCCGGTTCTTCTCAGTACAAGGTCTCCCGCCGTAGTTTTGCGAACCGATGGCGTAGCTTCTTGACCTTCACAAGTGCTTGTAACAGCCTAGACTGAATAAATTACTTTTCATTTCATTTCATTTCAATACTGCACTAACTAAACACTTTCGCGCTGGATTCGATATTGAGTTTGCTAAAATCACTAAAAATACTTCTGAGTCTTGAGTATTAATTTTGAACATCTACACTAATGCTTCAAATGTTTACTTAGTCTATTTTGCTTTAACGACGAATAAAAAGACGACAAATAAAAAAAAATAAGATGGTTTTTTTTCCTTTTTTTTTTGTCTAGACTGTTGTTATCATTTTTTGCCGATTTTATCATAATACCAGTTTATTGCCTTGGGATCACGTGTAAAGTGTATATTTGTTATTATTATATTTTTTTATTGTTGTGTTATTTACAAGAAGGTTATAATATCGAACATCACTCAATCACGCCATGAATGCATGGACTAATTTTACCACATACCCTTTTATCATTCGATAAGCTGTCTTGGCAGACAATGTATAATAGTAAAAGATACTACTAGTTTTTGCCCGCGGCTTTGCTCGCGTAAGATTTGATTTTGATTTTTTTCTATGCACACGTTGAACCCATGCTTTTCTCCTTTAGGGGGTGAGTTTTGGAAAATCCTTTCTTGGAGCACGCCTGCATCATAATAGCTATGTGTCATCAGTTTTTTTTTTTGAGTGTGTATGCTGTTGTTCGCAGATGACCTTTACAGCGTCACCGGGCGAGATCCTAAGGGGACCTCAAGCCGAGAATTGGCGAGTGCCTCTAGAGGTATTCCAGGCGGATAGCATCTCCCCACGGGGGGAGTCTCCTCTCCGTCTGGAGCCTTCTCGAACCTGAGGGGGTCGGCTCAACTAGAGGGCGTCTCTGAGATTTGGACCTCGGCTCTAGTTAGCCGTTGTCGTGGGGGGCGGGTGTGTCATCAGTGTTTGAGCTGTGTGTTGGTACATCAGTCAGTCAGTAACGGTTACCTTTTATTAAAACAGATTTAAAAATTTCAAATTAAGTTATATTTTTATTTTTAAGCATTTAACTGCTAGATGTTTAAATCTCAAGGAAATTTTACTAGAAAAAATCCACGCATTCCATTGTGGTTTACCTACAATGCGAAAAGACGGCGCTGCCTTGCAGCCTAAGAAACAGTAGAGAAAATTCGACACGTACAATTAGGGCCGTGGTAGCATAATAGTCAGTGCATCCGCCCGGATAGCGGAGGGTGCGAGTTCGAGTCCCGTGCTGCCTGGTCCACGTGAAATTATTTCTTGTGAAATTTCCTTTAGAATTTCAAATTTTTTCCCGGTTGGATAAATGAAACATTTTGTGTACCTAAGTCTTTTTTTCAATCTAGCTCCGGTTACGCAGATAGGGCAACGTCAAAATGTAATTGTGAACCTGAGTCCTGCACGGAAGTTTATATCATATTGATATTTTCCTTAATTAACCATTATAATATATAAATAATTATTTCTTGATTCTATACGAAGTTAACTTGGATATTTTCAAAAATAGTAATATCAATTTCTATAATTACTAATAATTATCTTATCACATATTTCTATTTTTGTTTATCTTTCTGTATTTATGATAACTATTTATGTGAGGTTATTTTTTTCTATACTTTATTTCTCTGAAATATTGGGATTATTAAATTAAATTGTAATCCAAAAAAATCTATGCAAACCATATACTAAAAAAAATAAAATTATTAACAATGGCACATCCGTTCTTCTTTTATCAGCGTAACTTAGAGAACATATAGGTATATAAGTAAGCATACTAGGCACATGTAGACACAGTTGATATAGCGTAGCGTGTCGTACTACACACACGTTAAACCGACTCAGTCAGTCTCACTCAGACATAGTGTGGCTGAGACGGAGTGTCACTAAGACACTAAAAAGAAAGCTGCACTATAATTTATTTATTTAGTGTCAGTAATAAATTAGTAACGTCATGTCGAGAGACGAAGTGTCCATGCATATACTGAGGAAGGTGGTGATTGACGGATTTCTCATATGCGGATGTGAGTAAATTTTCTTTTTATTTTCCATTGAATAATAATGAAGTTTCTATTATTTCAAATCGAATTAAAATGGGTATTGTTAACACGGTACTTTTTACATTTAATTAATTTGAATTTAACTTATAGTGATTAAATTAATAATAAGTTTTTCAATCAATGTTCTCATTATGTTATCGATGGATTGTAATACTGAATGAAAATATGGGAAATAATCGAAATGATGTGATATTAGGAATCGAACGAGCGAACTTGACACAATTATAAACAATTATATTATTTTTAAAATAAAACTACAAAAACATTGACATTTAAAAAAATATATAGGTATGAAATGTTTCTATCATAATATAGTGTTATTAATAGTTCACAACACATTGATTCAATTATTATTATATTGAAAAATGTTTTCAGTATAATGGTGCGAAAAGCGAAGGGTTCGAGTCCCGTCTGCTGCCTGGTCCGCGTTGAATTTTTTCTAGTAATATTTTCTTTAGATTTAAACATCGAGCAGGTACATGCTTATTAAATTAAAATTATAGTCTTTATACTTATTAAAACTATCAATCTCTCGATATCGATAATATCGATTGCATTTTTTTCACTAGATATAATTCTTTATTTTCATAACTGTTACTCGCTCTTCGGTATAAAACAAATAATGCATAATCGAAATCCTATTTCTTATCCCGTACGTGCGGCAACGGCATATGCATTAATTCGAGATAACGTAGACGACGGAGACGTATATTTGTCATACGAGTACATACATTGTTATTGGGTACCTATAAACGTTACAGGAAATGCGTCTTGCGTTGATTCGCTCGTTAAATTCACAATTCTCACTTTCCACGGTACCTAACAGTAATTTAAAAAATGCGATAACGCACTTTTCTTTAATAATAAACCACGATAGAATTGTTTTTTTTTATGTGAATGTAAAAGAAATTTCCAATTGAGTTAAAAAATTGAGGCGATGATAATTATTATGATGATATTCTTATCGTAGGCAGTTTTATGGAAAAATTGTTTAATGTTGATATTACTCCGGCTTTATAAAAAGTGGAAAATAAAAAAAAGACCTTCCTCAACTGGAAATCGAGCCCGGGCCGCTTACGTGAAAGGCCATCGAGCCCTGCCGCTTACGTGGAAGGCGATCGAGCCCGGGCCGCTTAAATGGAAGGCGATCGTGCCCGGGCCGCTTAATTGGAAGGTGATCGAGCTCGGGCCGCTTAAATGGAAGACGAGTTTTCTACCACTGAACCACCGATGCTTGTTGATAACGTCTGAATTTTTTAATAACAAATTAAAAAATTAATGCGACATGCTAAACATGAACGAAAAAAAATTGTGACATGTAATAAAAGTTTCACTTTAAAAACAAAACCCAAGTGCGTGTCGGGTCTAGCGCAAATAAACTTATAGCTATATAATATAATTCAAAATATTTTTTTAGATGAAAATCCACTCAGTGCAGGCTTCAGACAGCATTTAAACATACACCTTCCGTCAATTACGCTACCGAGACCTTAATAGCCTTGTCGAATTTCTTAGGCTGCAAGGCAGCGCCGTTTATAAATAAATCTAAAATATTTATAAATCTAGCAGTTAAATACTAAAAATTAAATTTTAATAGGTTTGACTATTCTGGATTTTTTGTTATCATCATCACAGCCTATTAATGTCCCCACTGCTGGGGCACAGGCCTACCCTATTGTTGGAATAGAGACATTGGGCTGTTATCCACCCACCCACCTTATCCAGTGCGTATTAGTGGGTACTAACGACTGCAGATGCAGCCGGGACCAACAGCTTAACGTTCCTTTCGAAGCCCGGAGGAGCTCGAGACAATAAGTTTTTGGTCACCCAACCAAAGACCGACCAATTGCGAAAGTTGCTTAATTTCCACGATCGCAGGCCGAACGCGCTAACCACCTGCACCATCAAGCTTCTCATTTTGACGTGATAACGTTTTATAAATCGATGAACACCGGCTGTACGCACGAAAAAGTGTCACGTTCCGCCTGAGCCTGAGCGTGCAAGCGAGAGCGCGGAACAAGCAATAGAGAGGCACGATCGGCCCAAGAGTCGGCTTGTACACATCTATCTCTCTTCTCGCGTGACGTCAGAGCTAGCAATTATGCAATTTTTCATCAATGTTTCTGTATGACGTCATCACGTAACTTTCGTCTGTAAATCGACTTAACAGACAATTTTTTTTTGCTAACTGGATTATCATTATTGTCCATGCAGTGGTGTTATGCATGCTCGGCTCCAGGGTGTTCTTGGAGCCGTTCCAGCGTGGCTTCTTCTGCCTGGACGAGTCGCTCATGTTCCCCTACAAGGAGGATACGGTCACTACTCCCACACTGAGGCTGGTGGGACTGTTGCTGCCGGCAATCGCTGTAAGTCCAGAGTCATATCCATTCTGTTACCCATAACCAATGACATTATAATATATAGACAGGTTCTACGCCAACATTATTGTATTTTAAAATAGAACAAGTAGCCCCAACTTCCCTTGGCAACAGCCGCCAACATAGCGCACTAAAGTTGTCTCTTTCACTCTCATGTATAAAGCAGATTACATCGCTCGCTCTTTACACTCTTGACTTTGCACGTCAACGTTGTCTGCAACTGTCAAAATAAGTAATCACTAAATATTTTAACATTAATTTCTTCAAAACTGTATGCACTTACGAATGAAATGACACGTTGTTCTTGTCTCTGATAGTTTCCATGTAATTTGTGTACAATCTAAAAATACACATAGGGCTTTTTGACTGGAAAAACGTAAAATATTTATACGTTGTAAGGAAGCGGCGAGCGATACTCTTTACGTAATTCAGACTTCCCGTATTTACTTCATTCAACAAGTGATGCTATCGTTAAACGGAACTGAACGAGACGTCTCGAGTTACAACAATTACAGACAAAGAGTCCTACATTTATTCATAACGATAAAGACTGTGATAAAACTACTTGATAAATATATATTTATAGGAACTTTGCTTGGGGTCTTAAAGTGGGCCAAGTGTTTTGATTGGGTAGTGGTGCTTACTTCATTTATTTATCTCACTTAATTTTTTTTAATGTAAGAAATTTAGCGGATTATCCTTTTTAATAAGAGCGTCCTTCTGGAGCATACCCACCATATAATATCACGGGGCGAGCTTAGAAGCTACAAGAGTTCGCTAGCAGATTGTGAACTCGCCCCGTGTCATCGGCTTTATTACAATCTGCTAGCCAACTTGTTGGCTTCTAGCTAGTAAACTAGCCACGTGTCATCGAGGCTTAATTATCGGACTAAATAGAATTTCATTGACTTCCCCGTCATCAACCCTATTCTTTTCTTCCAGTTCCTGATCTGCGAGTGGGCACTGCTACGCAAGGAGCAAGATGATCAGCGCTGCCTCGGAGTGCGCATCCCCGCCTGGCTGCGTGGATTCTACTGCGTCGCGGCATCCTTCTGCCTGGGCTACTGCTTCGTTGAACTCACCACCGAGATCGCCAAGATCACCATCGGCAGGCCGCGACCGCATTTCTTCGATGTAAGTAACCTTTTTTCACAACAAAAGTAAAGAATCTGGAGAAAAATTTGCTAAAAAAAACATGCAGTCCAGTCAGCAGACGGGACTGAAATGCGCTATCTGGGCGGATGCACTGACCAATTGTGCCACCACAATTCGTGTCGAATTTCTTCTAGTTTTTATTAGGCTACAAAGCAGCACCATCTCTAAGTATTGTAGGCAATCCATAATGCCAAGCGCCTCGCAATTTTCCTAATTAAATGGTAAAAAAAAACGTAGTTTTCATGACACACACACACACACACAAGAGAGAGAAGAGAACAGAGCTCCATTGTTGAGGAGGTGGTTCTAAGGTGTAGAGTTTGTGAAGTTAGGCCTTGTAGAGTGAGGGCGCTGTAGAGTTAGAAGCTTGACTCTACATGAGATCTGATAAGTTTTTGCCAGTGTGGTATATAATGGTCTCGTCGTGGCAACATTTTACACGAAAATGTTTTTGGTGGGTACATATTTTACTCAACGTCACGTGTCAAAGATAATTTGCAACACTAATAAGCATTTAGCAGGGGTCCATGATAACAGGAAGAGAGGCCAACAATTTCTCGGGTCAGGACACATTAATTTAATCGAACTAATGAGTAGTAAGAGATAACAAAATATGAAACATTAATTAATTTAGAAATACTCTACTAACATGCACTTTGGAATCTAAAGTTATTTATATATGAGTGCAGAATAAAAATACCTAGCTACCGGTACCAATTAATTTATCGATTACCTAGTATTAAATACATTCAACTTGAAACAACTAATCAAATTATTATATTTAATCACGCACAATTTCAGCCCGCCCAATACGTCAATTATATGATGACGGGATAAAGTAAACGCAATTTCATGTAGTCCGTCAGATTATTAACAAATATGGACACTTATTTTTTATTTTGACAATAAACAAAAAATGGCAAAGTTATTGCGCATCAAAGTTTGGGAGTAGGGGCTCGTGAAGTGAAAGTTGTACAAAGTTGTAACGTCATGCGACATTTCAAATCGATATATTTCTATTAATGTTTTAATTATGTGGAAAAATCATGTACAATCCTTTTTAATCTAACTGATAGAAGAAGAAAAAAGTTAGTCGTCCTATTAAATTGTATACACTATGTATATCATATATACATATGTAGGCACTTTGCTTGTCTGTATGTTATAATACGTACAAGACCCACTAAGCAGGCTCGGTGCGGATTGGTGGGCGCTTACAACTTCAGCTTTGCCTTCCAAAGCATGGAGGCACTCAATATAATAATTTTTTGTTCACCTATTCTATGTGCAGAATGACAGTACTAACCACTGCACCATCCAACACTTCTATATGTCTATTTATGTTTTAATGTAAGCTCCATATTATTATGTCACACACGCCTAAAACCCAAAGTTGATTTGCGGACGGCCGTTGCAAAGAAGAATAGAGGAAGTTCCATACCTATGTCTTTATTCAAAATCTTTTTTGCAGGTATGCCAGCCATCGGTAGACTGTAAGTCGCCGGAGTGGCAGGGGCGGTACATCCAGTCCCACGAGTACTCGTGCCTTGGCCCCATGGCACAGAATTTCAGGGAGATGCGGCTGTCCTTCCTCAGTGGGCACTCTTCGTTGGCAGCATACACGATGGTCTTCTTCGCTGTAAGTAACCTTTAGTCCACTTATATCTATTCTGCCTGATAGCACTTTAGGATTTTGGAACAAAGAGTGTAACAGCAACAGCGGGCACTCCTCGTTGGCAGCATACAAAATGGTGTACTTCACTGTGTAGTCTAAGAACTGACCACTTCCTGACTATGCAGGGATATGCCTGCTTACACAAATATGGTGGTAGGGTACTTTAGATTTTGTGAATCTTGAGAAATAATGAAAAGAAATAGTTTGGTAAAATGTAATTTCGGAGAAAATTTTTACCGTTAATATGAATCGATGGTGTTACCTCAGTTTTGATCATTTGAGCAGAATCCAAACGAGAGATTAGAAAACTGAACAATAAAGTTGAGAAGCTGATTTTCTTCCAAAACGAGATGTGGCAGATTAACCCTCTCTGCCTGATGTTAAGTAGAATTGGAGTCTAGTTATGAAGATAGCTGAGACGACATAAATTACTATGGTAACAAACTATTAAACCACAACGTGAATAAAAATAATAAGAAATTATGCCAAATCCTTAATAATTATGTTATTACGACTTGGTAAAACAACATATTTTTCTTTGCAGTTGTACTTAGAAAAGCGCATGGTATGGCGCACGACACGCGTCTTGAGACACACACTACAGTTTATCGCGCTAATGATGAGCTGGTTCACTGCCTTGTCCCGAGTCTCAGACTTCAAGCACCACTGGAGCGACGTGCTTGCAGGCTACTCGCTCGGCCTTAGCGTCGCTATCATTATGGTAAGCAACCAAAACTCGATAGATACGTCTGTCGAGAAATTGTTGCAGTCGTCACTCGGATGCTAAGCTGGTTCACTGCGTTGTACCGAGTCTCAGACTTTAAGCACCACTGGAGCCACGTACTAAGCAACCAAGACTCGTCAGATTCTTCCGTCGGAGAATCGCTGCAATGGTCGCGCTGATGCTAAGCTACTTCGCCGCGCTATCCAGAGTCACAGACTTCAAGCACCACTAGAGCGACGTGCTTGCTGGACACTCGCTCGGCCTTAGCGTCGCCATCATTATGGTAAGCAACCAAAACTCGATAGATACGTCTGTCGAGAAATTGTTGCAGTCGTCACTCGGATGCTAAGCTGGTTCACTGCGTTGTACCGAGTCTCAGACTTTAAGCACCACTGGAGCCACGTACTTGCAGGCTCCTCGATCATCATGGTAAGCAGCTATGAATCGACATAATATATTTCCATCAAGGAGTACCGTCTTCGCACTGATGCTGAGCTGATTTACTGACTGATCGCTCAATAGCTGGGTGGGTTTGCCATAATATCCCACTTCAAAATAATGCTAATAGCACTCACTCCATCCCATGTTAAGTGTAGCCCAATCGCAAAATTGGCCCATGTCGCAAAAATACTCCTCAATGGCGCTCCAATTCTAATCGAGGGATATCTTGGACCAGAACTTGACCAAATAAGTAATCAGATTGCACTTTTGCACCCAGAAGAGATTCAAAGATAAAATTTTATTTTCCAAACAAGTGGAAATATATCAAAAGAGATGCCAATTTTTATAGACTCGAAATAAAGGCTGTTTGAATCACAATCAGTCGATGCTTAGGACTGGATAAGAAACCTTAAAACTACTCTACTGGAACTGTGTTTGTAATTCTAAATTTAAACTGATATTTGTTCGTTCTGTCAGTGGGTTGTGTCGCCATATATTATGTGTCATAGATTATGGTTCCGTACTAAATATGAGTTGTCAAGAGTGAGTCGGATGCGTTTGCGAGTCTCGTGTGTATTTTTATCTAATTAGTGCACCAAAATAGAAGTAAAACTTTATTTTTAAACGGTTGTTATCTACTTGTTGATGTCATCGGCATTGTAATCACGTTTATTGTGAATGCGATTTGTTCACGTTTTATCAAATCTTTACATGGTACAAATTTTACTATTAAGCATTACTACGCAAGTATTGTTTCCTAGCGTAGTGATTATCTTTGTGATAACTAGTTTATTTCTCAACATCATACACATCATCATCAACATATTTATGCTTCCGTGTATTACTAATTGAAACTTCGAAAGTAGAAAGATTAAAACAATTTAGAAAACGTGTAAATGCACTATTTTGCTGAACTTCGACCCTTTTGTTTATTTTTTAATCTAGGGCCGTATATCATTTGGCGGGACTGTAGCCACAGTAGACTTGTTGACTGGTAGAGAATGCCATATTGGCATTAAGTCCGCCATTTGCAGTGTAAAGGCAATAAAGATTAAATAAATAGAGATAAAAATAACAAATATTAAATGGCCCGAGCTACCAGATTTCAAAACAAGGGCCCCCCACTTCCTCTTTCTCCCAGGGCCTCCACGCCTCTAAATCCGGTCCCGCTTTTATCAAAGAGTCACGTATTAATATAATATAAAAATTATAAATTAATATAAAAGTCGTACTAAAGACTTTTGACCTAAGTACTAACTCAGTAGGCCAAATCTTTAATATTAAAAGGGTGTATATTAGATCGATAAAAAGTGTTACGCATAAACAGGATGTTTTTGCACAGATTACCTAATAGTTACTATCTTCTGAATCACCATTATTTTACTAAGTACAAAGGTACTGCAGATAAAAACTTTTGGACACATAACGGGACTGGCCATCACTATTATATAATTCTAATAAATTTCCTATTTAGATATCAACTAACTGTTATCTTTTTGTTTCAGTGGATGTGGTGCACAGATCTGGTACACAAGAAGCAAAAGCATACTGTGATTCCTCTACACGAAGTACCCATAGAGAGCCACACTACGACAGCATAGCGTTTAAAATCTCATTAGTAACTAGTAGGAATTAGTACACATGACAAACTATAGCTCCATATTTAAGTAATACTTGTTATAAAATAATTAGTACAAAATTATACGATAGGAAATTGATGCCATATAGATCAGTTTATAATAGCGTCCGTTTTGAAAAAAAAAATGAAGTAAGTAGCGTTTGTAGTAGGTACGTTTTGTTTTTTACGTATGATAAAAATAATGCTATATTTTTAAACATTCAACTGCTAGATGTTTAAATAAAAAAAAAATAATAGAAAGCTACTTATAACGTTTTATCCGAAATGCCATTGTCAACTGTGATTCTTATCATGTTTTTAGGATTACTATCAAAGGAAAAGGAATGGGGACGATGACTAACTTTTTTTCTTCGTCTGTCAAACTCAAACTTATTTATTCAGTCTTGGCTGTTACAAGCTCTTGTGAAAGTTAAACGCTACGCCATCGGTTGACGAAGAACCGGCTAGAAACTCAGCAAGGGCTATTTTTTCCCCCTGTTTTGTTTCATACAGTGTCGTCAATTGAAAGATGACATCAAAAACTGAAAACATGTGTTGATGTCAACTTTCAAATCAAATCATGGCAGGTAGATTAGTCAAAAAGTATTGGACACGAACAAAACACAAAATTAAACATAAAAAAGTGATACTCCTGGTGTTGCAGGTGTCTATGAGCGACGGTGATCACCCACCAACAGATGAGCCGTCCACTCATATAATATAAAAAAAAATTTGAAATGTCGCATGACGCCGAGTTTCGTACTAAAAAGTGACGTGTCACCATAGAGGTAGAGGAATAGAGTAGGGGAGATAAATGGACTCTACTACTAGTGGAAGTGTCCGTCTAGTAGAAAGAGAAAGAAGATGAGAGACGGCTAGCTATCTCTCTCTCTTGTGACGCGGCGCAGTCGTGTGATTGGTCGGTATTGCTGCGCAGTCGTATGATTGGTCGGTATTCATCCGTAGGTTTTTCATCTGATGCGCATTCGCGATTAGAGAGAGAAAGACTAGCCGGCTCTCATCTTCTTTCTTTCTACTAGACGGACACTTTTAGAGCCGCCTTCCCCACTCTATTCTTATACCTCCATGCGTGTCACTCCCAAACGTTACCACGCTTTATCTTTGTTATTTTATAGTTGATTGACAAAAGAAAAAGTGTCTATTTATTATTTGATACTCTAACTGACGGACTAAATAGAATTTTGTTTACCCCGTCATCATCCCTATTGCTGCTGTCAAATAAAGTTCCAGAAATTGCAAAGAAATTATTTCATTTTTATAAGTACATTTTAAAGTTTATTTAAAGTTTAATTTTAAGGTAGTTTTAAAGTTTTATGTTTGTGCTAGTCGAAATTGAGACACGTTGTATCAATGTGTTTTGATAACAATAAAAATATTTTAAACAATTTTGTTTTTTTTTTCTAAATAGCTATTCCTCTGAATAACTTCTTCTTTTGGATGTCTTAAAAGATTTTTTTTATATTCATACTCCATTTTTACTTATTTGCTAATATTATGGAATGAGAAAGTGAGTCTGTCTGCCTGTTACTTCTTCACGCTTAAACCGCTGAACTGATTTAATGAAATTTGATATAAAATAAATATAGTTTGAATCCTGGGAAAGGATATGGGATTTATCCCAGAAGTTATCCTTGAAAGGGATGAAAAAGGCGGTGCAAGTTCGTATAGGAAATCAATTGAACCACGCAGACATAGTGCCGGGCACCCGCCCTCTAGTACTATATATTATATCGAAAATGTAAAATACTCAGATTACAGAACATTTTGTTCTATATCTGAGCTAAATTATAAATCAATTTACGAAAAAAAAATTAAATAAAAATAAGGTGATATCGTTGTCATATTACACAGCGTCAAACATGCCTTAATTAATAAAGAACTGTAGTTATATTTGTTTATAGTGGAGTGAACGTTTAACTTACTTTTTGGTTGGTCTGATGTACGTGTCCTACAGAGGGACCGTAGTCACAGTTATATTTAAGATAGGGTAGCGGTAATTACATGTGGGACATACGCAGGGGCGGACGTGCCGCACTTCACAGCCTGCCGCCTAGTTTTAAGTTAAGGCAATGGTATTTTAAGTTAGGGCATTGCTCCATAATGCCCCCCGCTCCCCTAGTTCCAGCCCTGGCCATAGACACACACACACAAAGAAAAAAAAATGGGTGCGTGTACTTATGTAGGCGCGTGAGAAGTTATCCTTCTTTGGCATCGTTTAAAATTAGTTTTTAATTGCATGCAAATAATTAATTACAATAAATTAATAAAAAGTCTGGAAAAGGACACAGTCAATAAAGTTCAGTTTTAATTTGAAAAAAATAAATAAATAATCAAAATATTCAATTCAAATCGCTACTGAATATAATTTATTAGAACATATGTGATTTGCACTTGTATGCAACTCAAACACGTATTCCGAATATACAAACTACAAACATGTGGATAAATATTATAAATATGAATACCTATAACTGTTACTTTATTACAAAAAATAAAGATGTGGTTTTTGGTTCTACTACACCAATTTTCAAGAGATGGCGCTGTAGTCTCCTGAATCGCGCTTTGGTTCCGTTGTTCCAGATTAATAAAAACTTTTGATAGGCCTTCACAATGCAGTCGTTAGCACCCACTAAATAGAGATTCTGTTTCTATTTTGTTGGTAGATTTTCTTAATGTGCGGTAAACACAAAAGTAATTAATAAAATTCATGCTGTTAAAATTTTGTGTTACAGTGATGCGCGCGCATCTTAAAATTTCACTCTCATCATTTTTTCATAATGCGCCTAAAGAAGTATAACTTCAAAAAACGATATCATGATCCTATAGACCAACCATGACCGTATCGTCAATAGAAGCAACGCCAAGAATTTATTGTTTAACTGTAGAGTCCATCTTGTGGCTCATCTTGAAGGTTGCTGTAATATTTAGACAGGCGTTTTACTCAAATCAATATTACAAAATTTCAGACTTCAGATGAAATACACAGAAATACTTGCACTTCAAAACTTTTAAAATTGGAGCTTGTTAAAAAAATACAATTCCTTTTGCGTAGCCCTACTAAGTTCAAAACCCGTTTTTTCCGTATGACTACGTGCCATAAGATGCTATCTTAAATTAGTAGGTTTTTAGACACATTATTATAATCATATTACGATTTTACGTAATAGTTCATTGATATGCCATGGATAGACTCAAACCCATCGATATATTATTACTTTACGGTCAAAACTCAGTCAAACAAGTATGGGTCAAACAAGCCTCTACTTTATGGTTCAACATTGTTTGTTGAACCATAAACAAGCGGCATGTCAAAGGTTTGTTGTTGACGATAATATAGTTTATGACAACTTGTTTAAGCAAAATTGTAATTTACTCTTTTGTAAAAACTGTTTGTTGTTAAATAGATTCTGTTACTTAAAATATATGGCGCAATAATCACTAATAATCGCTGTCAACAACCTTGCGGAAAACTTAATGTAAGGCGTATTAACGTAAGTAAGGTTCAGGTTTTTATGATAATTAAGAGTCTATAATGCGATTCAACTAAGAATATAACCGACTGGGCGCCATATTGTGATGTCGCTGTCAATTCAAATCAAATAGGTAGTGTGACCAAAAAAAGTTTTTATTTAATAAAACTTATTTACTAAGATTAAGTGAGAAAAAGCATGAGATTTTTTTAATAACATTTATTTACTAAGATTGAGAAAAAAAACCTTAATTGAGAAAAAAAAAATTAATAGTATTTATTTTTTATTAAGACTGTGAGAAAAAACATTAATCAGAATCTAGCTCTTCTATTCCGCTCATCTCTGCATTACCGCCGGAGTAGTTATGAAAAATCATGCACTATTACTAGGTCACATACGAACATGCATCCTTTATGTAAATGAAAGTTTGAAATCGAGTTTCCGAATGCAACTTGAAGTTAAACCGATATTAATTATCAATATTTGTGATTGTTTACAAATGTTTGGTTTTTATTCTTGATTTAGCGGAGTGCTAAAAAAGGGGCCGTTTTTTTTTGCAAACCGTATTTTTCAAGCGACATTTGACATATAGAGGTCATTGGCGTTCCTATTCTTATTTAAATCGCATTATATTTCAATATTTAGTAATGTTTTGACTACATATTATTAGTTGTTAACTGATAGCTAGGACATATTTTAACAGACTTATTATTTTATCGTTCCCCATACGTTTGAAATTTAAAAAAGAAAGTTAGTAATTGACCTCCTCACTGTAGGTGCAACATAAGGTTATTTGTTTTTTCAAACGATTTTAGCTATAAACATGGAATACCTATGTATAAATAAATATTTCCAACATTCACACCAATGCCCTTTGGCTGTCTACGAAACCATAGTTTCGTAACTGGTTTCGATGCAGGAATTAATATTCTTTGTATGAAACCGCGTTGATGTATAATGGCTACATACATGGAATTGATTGTTAAGGTTTCCAAGAAAGAAATATTTTTCATTGGACGTAACTAGTTTTCATAGAGGAATTATTTGTCATACATACAAGGAATTTTATGTAAGTCAAATTAGGATTTATTGAAACCAGGTAAGGCTCTATTAACAAAACATTTAAATTACAGAATAATTTATACTTTTTATTACTTTTAATTAGCCTAGCCCAAAAGTAAGCACTGTATGCTTGTGTTATGGGATACTAGGGTAATGAATGGAATACATATTTAACTATATTTTTATAGAAATACATATTAAACATTCATGACTGGCGTACAAATTCTCGTATTCATAACAAAAACGTGTGCCCCCACCGGGATTCGAACCCGGGACCTCTCGAGAGGTGACACCTTGCAACCCGGTGTATACCATGCGGCCAAGGAGGTCGTTCATTCCAATCCATCTTTATAGCTAAATAAATCGTGTTCAACTCGTGTTATGAGAAGTAAAACATCTATTACAAATAACCAAGCAGCACCGTCCGTAACCATCACGGTAGAGCGAACTACCTTGTTCTATTGACGACTTTAGATAG